AGCATGTTTACACTGAGTAGGAGATGCTCTGTATCTCATTGTACAACTATATAGTGACAATAAAGGCATTCTATTCTATATTCTATTCATACGGTACTGTGCAAAAGTCTTGAGTGACGCCTCATTTCTTCATAATTTACTTGGAAAATTGGGAGTAGGTGCGGCAACCATACATGGCAATACAGTATACAAAGCAAAAACTAAGTTTGTGCAATTCAACAAGTTTTGTTATGACCGCCTTTATTCTTCAACACAGTCTGAACTCTTAGACAAGTTTTCTTGTTATTCCTTTCAGTAGACTTCAGGAAAAGTTTTCCATGAAGGACATTCAAAGATGCCCAGCACCCCTAGCTGAAAGCCAAAACCATGACAGAGCCACCACCGTGTTTCACAGATGGCCGCAGACGCTCACTGTTGTACTTGTTTCTTGACCTCCTACATACATACCGAAGATTATTTAAATTTGGATTCATCACACTACGAGGCCTGATTTTAAATCCAGTTCTGGTGTAATTTGGCGTGCTGCAGACTTTCCGTCCTTGTTTCCTGCTTTTAATAGCCACCCTTCCACTGAGACCATTTCTGGCATGACTTTCAGATTCTTCTTCACTTGTCCAGTTTCCTCGCATTACTTAAAGACACACAGTACACCATGCCAAGATACACCAGCAAATAGTTCTTTGGTGCAAAAAGCTTCATCCCTGTCAAATTTTGCTTGGTAGTTTTCATAAATTCGAGAAAGGACAGGGAACAAAATATGTGATTTTTTCACAGTAACAAAATGACTAAAATACAGTCGGTTTCTTGCTATGCCGCGTGTAGACAGAACACTAGTTTATCACTTGAATAAATGCTTTTTAAATGCTCGAATGACTCTTAGGTCAGTGTTAAATAAAAATAATAATAATAATAAATCTGACAATGGTAACTACAAGGACTAGACTAAAGATGAGTGAAAAAGACAGAACTGGGAGTAAAATTAATTGAAAAAGACATTTATTGCTACAATATAATTTTGACACATGCCTGTAGGCTAGTTCAAACTGTACACATACTGTACATGTTATGATAAGAGTATTTCAGATCATTCAGGATTAATATTTTTTTTTAAATTTGTATTATCGTTTCAGCAGAGTGAGAAGCAAGACATCAATCATCCTGTAACATTGTATTGCTCAGAGGTTGAACTGTAGCTACATCTAGTAAACTGCACAAAAAAAAAAAAAAAAAAAAAGAGTGTTGCCTCGTGTAAAATCGGAGACAAAAGCAAATACACATCATCAAATTCACAACATTTGTATAAAAGATAACTTATATAACTTAGAAAACAAATGAAAGGTTCTATTAAAAACTCAAACATGCAAAGAGCTTGTTTGACTACGTGTGAAGAGCAGTGATTACACTGAGAAGAAGAGGGCTCCTGTCCACCAGTGTTTCAGTAAGTGTAATCTTTTAAGAGTGCAAGAACACAAATAACATTCAAACAACTTTACAAATGCCGGATGTTGTCCACGTGTTAAAGAACATTCTTGGAGATCTGTTCATTCACAGAATGGTCGAACCCCTGCAGCAATATGCGCACGCACACACAGACACACACACGCACTTCAGGACAAGTAAAATCTGCTGTCTGAACACACAAACGTGGGAATGTGGATCTGAGCTCGGTGGAAAACACAAATGTTTGCAGTAAATATCGACACACTGTAAAAGTGTCAGTCAGAAACATACCTGGCTAAGCCAAAATTAAAAACTGCAGATGACACCTTGCTACTACTGGTTTCCATCCATTCAGATATAGTCCAACAGAAGGATAATCAATAAATATACAAAATATGTACAAAACATCTGCAGCGTACAATGCATTTGTCTGTTACAAGTAACGTTCAGGCACAAAGTTAAGAGTCAATTTGGGAAGTTAGGAGATGATTGTTCAACTGCATCACGCTTTCTAATCAGAGAAGAAGACCTCACTGTCCCGGTCTGAAAGTCCGAAGAAATGAGAAACATCCAAAACAGCTGGGATGCTCTTCCCTCAGCATCTGGACATCAAAGACAGGAAATTAATTTGAGGAAGTCCTTTACATTATTCCCTCAAATAGAAACATCCAATTGTTTTAGACTTTAGTTCATAAAGTTTATTGCTGATATAAGGTGATGGTAAATACTTGATGGCAGACTCGATGTGGTCAGGTGCTCAGAGGTGGCCCATGGGGTTCGCCGGGTCTGTCAGACTGGGATGAAAAGCAAGATGCATGGACTGTGGGTCCGTCATGACAGCAGACGCCTTCTCTTCTTCTCTCCTCCGCAGACATGCTGCCTTCGGGTTCAGATTCCTCTCTGTGGAGTCCAACAAATAACACGTTAGCATAAGACTAAAATAGGAAACACTGGGAGTACATACTCGTTATTGTATTTATGCAACAGTGGTACAGATGTTGGCAATCTGCTTTAAAAATAATAGAAGCTAGAAACTTTATAAGTCATCCTTACAGACGTT